TTACATTGAAGTAATTGTCAATTACTTCAATTAAATATTTCTTTCTTCTTGCTGATCAATAAAAAACACGACTTACTTTAAAAACACAAAACTTGCATTTCCTACTTTTCTGCTGAAAATTGGTCCATTTTTGTATATTCAAGAAGCTCTTGAGGTCTGCTATCACTCCTATAAAAAGTTTCCTCTACTTACGGGACACTAGAGATGAGTAAAAAGTACAAATTACAGTAAAGTACTCAGCTGTCCTCGTGAGTGCTTTCCATTTTCAAATTTGCTCAGAATTATTTTACTCTGAGTACTTTTTGATGAAATCGAGTACTTAATTATAAAAATTATAGTAGTTGAATATTTAATATTTCTTCAATATTTATCTCTATTGTTATTTAATGGAGGGTATAGTTTTTTTTGTTTTTTTTAAATAGAAACGATATTCATGTAAATCAATAAAATATCGACTTACTAAAATATTTTGGATTTAATGCAGATTAGGGCTCATTGTCATTTTTTTTTAATTTAATTTTTTCCTACACCTCTTGGCTTAGACTTCTATTATTATGTTTTGGGGGAGAGCTTTTTTTAAGTAATACTGTCAGACTAGAAATTGTACCTCCGCGCATCTACTTTTTGTTACTTTTCGGATTTAATCGATATCGGTGTCGACTATTACGTTTTGGGGGCGCTTTTTAAGAAAATACTATCGGATTTGAGGTTGCGACCCCGGGCATCGACTTTTTGGATTCAATCGATATCAGTGTCGACTGTTATGTTTTGGAGGACGCTTTTTATGAAAATACTATCGGATTTGAGATAGCACTCCCACCCCCTGACATCGACTTTTTTAACTTTTCGGATTTAACTATATCAGGATCGACTATTATGTTTTGTGGGCGCTTTTTATAAAAATACTGTGGGATTACCAAAGTTCATAAAAAACTCCCCCCAAAATATATTAGTCGATCCTTACATCGAATTAATCTGAAAATTACAAAAATTCAATATCCGGGGGAGCAATCTCAAATCCGACAGTATTTTCATTAAAAGCGCCCTCCCAAAACATTATAATCTACCCTGATACCGATTTAATAAAAAAGTCGATGCCCGGGGGCGCAATCTCAAATCAGACTGCATTTTCATAAAAAGCAGCCTCCAAAACATAATAGTCGATCTGATAACGATTAATGGGTGGTTAAGTCGAATATGGACGCAAATATTGAAGGAATTAAAAGAAAACATCTATACTCTTTATAATATTGATCGGGTAGTTGAAAAATAAAAAGCACTCAGAGGAATTTGGCTGAGTACTTTCTGTAATTCGATATAAGAATGCGAATAGTTTCTGTACTTAACTAACACTATTTGAAATTATATTCAATCAAAACGTAAAAAACACTGAAAAGTATTCTCAAAAAAAAGCCCAATAATATTGAAATAAACCTTCAGTGATATATATGGCTTGAAAGAGCAATAGGTAGGTCTGGGTGTTTAATCCTTACATCATGGTTCAAGTCTCCACACCCCCCATTTCAGTGAGTGAACCTGGTAGTTATACAGACCTTGATATTGATTCAATATAATTAATGAGTGTGAAGGGTCCCTTCAGCAGCAAGAGAAAGTATTTTACAGAGCGAACACAAAATAATGAGAGATATTGTCTGTCAAGTCACACTATGAAACAATACCCAAGATTGACAAGTCTAACAGTTGTCCCAATGCCTTCTGTCTCCCATTTCAAATGGGAAAACAAATGTAATGTGATTTTGATCCTAAAGCTTGTCTTTAGATATTAATTTAGCTCTAGAATGTATAAATATGATCACTTAAGCCCGATGAGAAGGGAGAGGAACAGTCGGCGCTGTTGCCACAGAGTCCCTGGCCTATCTTACAAAGTTTTTATTTTTCAATTTCTAAATCTATATTAAAATAGTTTAAATAGCATTACATGTTTGATATAGTAATTATGTTATATATTTACATAACATTTTTATTGCATATTGTATTCATGCCTTCGGTTGGGTTTTAATGGAACTGGTACTAGTGGCGGTAAATAGTCTGTTAAGTGGACTCTATTGTGATCCTTTTTGCTAACCACTGATGGCTACCTTGAGGTAGCCGCTGTGTTCTTACTAGAGTGAGAATGTCAAAATTCATTTCCTGGGAAGCCGAGAAATGAAAATTAACCAACCCAGTTAGGAACCGAATCCACACAGTTTAGAACCAGGCACTCTGAAACCCACGCACCAACGTGATCGGCCATCACTCCCTCTGTTTTATGGTAAATTTAAGACACCTGGACCACTATTCACGTGACAAAAATTTAATGGACAAAGAGAATTAGAGAATGAGTTTTTGGAGTTTATCAGTTCTATTTCGAGAGAATAAAAAACTTCCTGATAGGTTAAAAGAAATGTATTGGTAGTAGTGGAGACTATTTTGATTAAATAAAACAGTTGTAAATCTTTCTTTTTAAACCAAAATCCTGCATTATGCTTAGTTGGATGATAAAAAAATCGCAATTAATTTATGAATCTCTTAAAAATAGAACTTGGCTTAGCTCAGCCACTCAAAAACCTTTTTTGAATGGCTTAAAACAATTGTTCATTACTTGAATTAAATATTTCTTTACTTATCGCTTCCTATTCAACAAACAACACGACTTATTTAAGAAACTCATGACTTGGATTTCCTACTTTTCTGCTGAGAATTAGCTCTATTTATATAACCTTCTTTGTAGCTGAGGTCTGCTATTACTCCTATAAATATTTCTCTCTACTTATGGTACACTCTGTAAAATAAAGATATCTTCATATTGTATTGTAACAATTAAGTACATTTAATTATAAGTCAATACATTAATAAAATATTTACCTTTCATCCTCTTGTTGTTAAAATATATTTAGTTTTTTCTTTATTTATGACGTCTTATTTTCTTTGCAGCTCCTACTGCTCTTAAGAGTGCATTGGAATCATCTGCAAATGCTAGGTGTTGAGTCATTCTGTCATGATACATCCTGACCTTGTGCAGAATGATCTCATGATTACTTCTAATACCAAATTGAACCGAACTGGGAAAAGAGGGTCTCCTTGTTTTACATCCTTTTGAATGCCAAATTCTTTTGAATTTGATTCCTCACCTTGAATTTTTACTAGACCTTTGCTGTCCTGCAGGATTATCTTAACAAGACTTATAAGGTTCAGCGGGCATCCCAAAACCTTTAATTTTTTTATACTGGATTAACTCTATACCCAATTTATATTTATCCAATCTAGTATTTGACTTTAGTTTTGTAAATAATTATTACTAATTGTTGAAAATAAAATAATTAATCATCATATAAGAATTTTTTTATACATATATTTAATTTTTTAAAGGTACCAGTTGTGGGTTTATTTCCATGAATCAACACATTCATTCTCCCAGATATGTATGTATTTTCAATATACATAGCAGTTACCTCTTTAGGCCATATATCATCATTGTCTAGTGGCAGGACATACCACAAACAAGGCCATAACATATCAGAATGAATATCAGTACATATGAAAACTGGTAACTAACCATTGATTAACATGCTGAATAATCTATTTATTAATAAATCTGAAATTATCAAAGCTATTGCAATCATTTACGAATAGTTTAATATCACATTAAATTAAGAAAAAAATAATATAGAAAATCTTACCTTTGCAATAATAACACTGATTTACTTTTAAGAAGATAATAATAATAATAATAATAATTAAGATTTTATGTTGACTGACAAGCGAATGTTGAAAATGATTATTGTTAAATGTGGATTTTTGGAAGAAGATGTAGATTTGTTCACATTCTTTAATTTGATATGTGAAATAAAATTTTAAAAATCTTCATATTTACATGTTATAAAAATTTAAAACAAAATATAGAAAACATATACTTTATAGATGTCTAATATCAAGAGTAAATAAATGGTCATAACAAGGAAAATATTTTTATAACTAAAGTAATTAATGATAAATAAAATTAATTTTGTATATAGTGATGTATAAAGCCATGTTTTCTTCTATACAACTAACAAATGTCATAAACAGATATAAACAAGATGAGAAACTTAAAAACTATGACTTTTAGCAGTTTACCATTCACCAAATCTCCTAATTGTGAAAATGTGATACAGCTTTAATAATTACACAAAACTTATTTAAGAAAAGTAACAGCCATGTTTATACAAAAACAGAAAAAAAAAATATACATACATACATTTCTTATGTCTTTAAGTCTAATACATACATACGAATGTGTTTGTTTAGAGTGTGGGTACACAAGATAAATAGTTTAGAATATTTATAAAACCAATGGAATATTCCTGCATTAAAAAAATAATTTGGGAAGGGGTAATTACTTGTTTATGATGAATAAAATGATAGAACATTTATTTATTTCCCAAGCATATGTTGGATAATACACATTTAAATTTATTTTGTTAAATAAAACCATCTCTCAACATGATTCAATGATCATTTTCTTGAAATATTAAATATATTTAATATGATTATAAAATCACTTTTGAAAATTTCAACACTAATAAATTTGAATAAATATTGAATATTAATAACAAGAAGCCCCATTGAAAGTGTCTTTTTTTTAACCGATTTCACAGCAGGGTCTAAGATAATAGTATGAACTGCACTATATATAAACACAATTATTTCACATAAAAATTAACTTAAACCATGCATAACATAGTTATTACAAGTTAAATCACTGTGAAAAAAAATCAATATTTATCACAAAATTATTGGTATAGAAGAAATAAAAATTATAAAACATAAAAAAAAAGTTTTCCACCATCAGAAAATATATATTTTACAAAGAAGCAACTGAATGCATACATACATACATAAATACACACATACATAACAAACATATATTTAAATATATATATATATATATATATATATATATATATATATATATATATATATATATAATATATATATATATATATATATATATATATATACACCCACACACACACATACATTTCTCACTAGCACACTTATAACTTCAAAAATAAATATAAATAACAATTAATTCACCATTTAATAACATATTTCCCTTCATACTTCATATATCTGTGCAGAAAAACGTTTTGCCTATAAAGGGTTTTTTAACTTCAATTAGTTTAATTCAAGTTCTCTTTTTGGCACAAAACTAATTGAACTTCGTAATAATATCAGTATTTAATCACTCCTTTCAATTTCTACAGACCCTTACTGAACACAGCTACTATTAACATAAAGTGATAAATACTTTACAAATTGCATCAATATATTATTAATAAATGTGAAAAATTCAATAAAAAAAATTTTAAGACTAGGAAATATGAGATTTTCGGCTCTTCATAAAATACATATTCATTAGCAGTCACCACTCAAAAAAGTTAAAAAATAGTAATGAATTAAAAGTCAAATTACTATAAAACTGAGGAATGCATCTCTTTATAAAAACAAAACAAAATAATCATTAAAAAAAGAACTATGTACATGAATTGCCAACATAAACCTGTTAAATGACAATTAATCTGAAAATAATAATTAAAGATACAAGATTGACTAGTGGCTGTTAATTTAAATGGATAGTGATTTATGTTTAAATACATGATATCTACAAAAAAATATTATTACCAATAAAATTCTATAAACAGATAACTTTATAAACAAGAATATGGTAAAATATATTAACATAGTACTGACAATCTATAATAAATATGATAATATAAATATCAATATTTTTTACATCCAAACTTCAACATATCAATAGTTCAATAGAACAGCAGTTTCCTTCAAATAAATTCCACTACCATAAACACTCAATGATAATCTTCTCTTACAAGAAAAACAATTAAAGAAATTGATTAATTGAACATTCATGAGTAAGTTAGTGATTATAGATGAATCTCCAAAAAAAAATATAATTGGAATGTTGTAACACCTTGCTGGAAGCTCATAATGCTACTTCCACTGGTAACTTCTCAAATACTATACTAAATGGTCAAACTTCTGTTCACCTGAGGGAGGCCTGAATATTTCAACACTTCACAACTTAGAATATCCAAAAGGCTAAACCCATGAATCACCCCCTGGTGTTGATGCTGGATCAACAACTAAGCCTTTTGTGTTTTCATCATAACTCCATCCTTCAGCAGAACCAAGCCCTACACTTCTATTGCTTTTTTTTTTTTCTCTATTAACTTGAGCATATAATGGTTCACCAGGTTTAACCTGGAAATCAAAAGAGTAAAATTAAAATATAATGTAAATATTTTAGGTCAATTTAAATAAGATATTTGATCATGAACTAGAAAAATAAATTGTTCATACATAATTGCTATTCAGCTTAGCACATGAACTATGCGGACAATTAAGTTCTGATAGCTGACTCCAAAGATGTTATTTAGTCATCTTTAATAGCATAAATCCAACTAAAAGTAAGGACATGAACATTGGAAGAGATAATGCATAACCGTAAATTTTATTTTATGGTAAACCCCCAAATTTTGTCAATACATATACAGTTCTGTCAATAAATATAAACTCAAAGTATTAATCAATGTTTATCTTTAATGTACATGCGTATTTATGAATGAATATTTATTCAGTTCACTTTTTCACATTTATAGAGAACTTATTACTTTCACTCAGCTATATATGAAATATATAATACAGGAAAGTATTGCAATTATGCAAAGCTTCTAATCCGAGTTTTACAGCAACTTTTCTGCAAAAACCATCAAACTAAAAAAAAAAAAAATGTTTTGCTCAATTTACAAGTTTCATTTTTTTATACTTTATTTAATAACTGGATTTGAAGCGTAGCCACACATATGAGACAAACGAACAAAAATTATACCATTAACGTTATTAAATTGCTATAACTATGCCATTTATGAGTACTGAATGATGTGGTAGAAGACAGTAGGCACTTACAGAACTGCTTTTTCTGCCGATTAACTGATTTTTTTTAAGGAACTGATTCAAATACTTTGAAAATTAATCACTAATTTAGAAAGAAAGATGTATTGTCAACATGTTTTATTTCAAGGCATTTTTAGTTATTGTTGACCATTTATTTACAATCAACACTTGATTATCAACATTAGTTTGAATAAATTGACTTTACCAGTGTTTTTATAGCCTAAACCAATTGTTTTTAAATATTTTTTCATGTTCTATTATTCATTAATTAACCAGCTTTAATAACAAGCCAATTATGTTGAAATTAAGCCAAATGCTGAATCCCAGTGACTGAAAAACTAACTCATGTCAAAGACGTCAATCCGTCATGTTTGGAAGCACAGTATGGGACAGTGCGGCCAGTTTTTTTTTTAAGGGTACATTGGCTTTTTTAAATAAATAGTTACAAGGAACACAACAATATGCAATTAATAGGGATGTGGGGCAGGGCACAGTAGGTGGGTCTGGCTCATGGTGAAGATGTCATGGACGAACAACCCTTGCCAGGACCTGTATGTCCAAAGTGGATGAAATAGTGAATCTATATGAAGTTGTGAGTGTAATATTAAGAAGTTATTGAGAAAAGTCTGGTGTAGGAATGTGGTGGCCCCATCGCCCAGCAGTAAGGCTGCAACCAGCCACCGATCCTCCAGTTTGGGGGAACATTCACACAGTACTCAATAACAGCACACTACAACACCCTTCATTACAGACAAAAGTTAATCACAGCACACAGCCCAGGGCGATCTCCCCTGGGTAGCCGCCCCGAATGGGGGAGTGTGTCAGGGCACTTATAGGAGGCAGTCCCTCTACCTGACTCAGGGACAGTGGGCCCATAACCCATTACCCCAAAATTACTGATTTTAAGGAATAGACCCAGGAATCGCTGCCATAATTACTTAAGATTAGCTTATTGGAATATTTTATCCCTACATAGACCAGAAGCCCCTCAGGCGCTCCTTGCAGAACTTAATGTTGAACACTGCAGCAATCCAGATCTGCTGGCTCGGATGTGGCTTGCTAGAAAAGAGATTCCACACTGTATATCATAGTTGCAATGAAAGCAAACACGCCTTTGATACAGGATTTGCAGTTAGAGGAATTGTACGTCAGCTTGTCCTTAAGTTCAAGCCTAGACTCATAGACTTTGCTATAGCGCAGGGTCTAGTCATTGGCAGCACATTGTTTCCTGGCAAGAACATCCACAGAGCCATTTGGAGATCATCAAATGTGGCAATCATGAACCAAAAAGAACACATTTTGATTAGCTCACGTCGGCTCGGATCATTTCTTGAGCAACGGCAGGATTCGCCCACTAATATCACCAAAAAGACACCGGCCCAACAGAAATATGACATCTCCAAACTAAAATACATGGAACAGCGGTATGGAACAACATACCGGCAGAACTTAGAAGTTAAACTCGCAGAGGAGTTGAGAGAGAGAGAGAGAGAGTGAGAGAGCTGAGACCATTAGATGATCAGTGGGCAGGAATAGCTGAAGCTCTCAAAGATACAGCAAAGGAGATACTCAGACCTCAAATAAGAAATGAAATGACACTGTTGTTCGACGATGAATGCTTAGAATTCACAATCCGGAAGAACGAGCCATTTAAGAAGATGATCCAGCATTACACCCGGTGATCAAAGGAGGAGGGAAGCAAAGAAGATCCATCGCACAAAGAAAAGAATATGGGAGAACAAAAGAATGGAGGACATTGAGACACACAGAACTCTCCAGGAAAGTAAGTTGTTCTTCCAGAAGGTGAATGAAGGGAGGTCGCTTTTTAAACCGAGGGTCACCTCCTGCAAGGATACAGATGGAAATCTCCTGATAGAAAAGGGAGAAATCCTGGATAGATGGAGGCAGTACTTTGGAAGAGTTCTTCATCAAAGACAATGCAGAAGAGAAAGCCAGCATCATATCAAGGTTGGAAGACCTCCAATGCAGAACCACCAGATGAGGATGAAGTCAAGGTGGCCGTTATGAAGCTGAAGAATAACAAAGACCCGGGACTTATGAAAGAATTCCACAACCTCATCCTTACAATATGGGAAGAAGAAAGGATACCACAAGTTTCGAGACAAGGAGTTATGTGTCGGCTTCACAAGAAGGGTGACTAAACGGAGTGTGACAAATACAGGGTGACCTCCTTTTGAGCCCCTAAAAGGTGTCAAACATCCTTTTCGAGAGACTCACCCCCCATGCTAAAAGAGAGATAGGCAATTACAAGGCTGGATTCAGAAGGGGTAGATCAACCAATGACTAGATCTTCTCCCTGAGAACGATTCTGGAAAAAGCCAAGGAATACAGGATGGTTACGCACCACTTCTTTATGGATTTCAAGTCTGCATAAGACAGTGTAACTCGACCCGAGCTATACCAGGCGCTAAAAGAAATGGACATACCCAGGAAGCTGATTCGTCTGGTGAGGATGACCATGTTAGGGTCGAACAGCGTAGTTCGTATTGGATCTGACCTCTCTGAACCTATTGCAACGAACTGCAGTGTGAGACAGGGAGACGCCCTTGCATACCTTCTCTTTAATTTGGTGGTGGATTGAGCAGTACGCAGATCAAGGATCCAAACACGGGGCCTTATTCAACATTACGGTCCAGTTAGTGGGTACGCAGATGACTTTGACATAGCTGCCAGATCGGAGGGTGCCCTATAAGTATATATAAGCTTGCCCTATTTCAGGCAAACGAAAAACTTCAAGAGCAGACACCTCTCCAACAAGAACAAGATCAGCATATATAAACCCAGATTCGTCTGGTTCTTACGTATGAGTCAGAGACCTAGGCCTTCACTAGAGCCAGTTGAGAACCTCCTTCTGATGTTTGAATGGAAGATATTGAGAAATATTGTTGGCCCAGTTCGAGAGGGAGACACTTCGAAAAGGAGGAAGAATCAGGAACTTTCAAGGCTGAACAGAGATCGTGATATTATCAAGAGGATCAAGATTGGAAGACTCCAATGGGCAGGCCACGTGGCAAGGATGAGATGATCCCTAAGCAGACATTAGATGAAGAGCTCCAGGGCAAGCGAAGAGTGGGTAGGCCAAATGTGAGGTGGGCTGACTCCGTCACAGCGGATGCACACAATTTCCTCAGCGCAAGGAACTGGAGAGCTGCAGCAACAGACAGAGCCAACTGGTGGCGACTTTTGGAGGAGGCCTAGACCCGTTAACGGGTTGTTGTGCCAAATACGTACCTATGTAATGAGAAAAGTGATAACAATGAGGTTTATAATTGTATGTATTTAATGTACTGGTGGGGGGAACTAGTCCGGTAAGTGGGCCTATAGTGGTCCTTTTTCCCAACCCCCCGATGGCTACCTTTGAGGTTACCGCCGCTTACTTGCCAGAGTGGAAATGTCACGATTTGTTTCCCGGGGTCGCTGAGAAATGAAAAGTAACCAACCCAGATGGGAATCGAACCCACAAAGTTCAGAACCAGGCACTCTGGGACCCACGCCCCAACGTGCTTGGCCATCCTGTCCTCTGTATTTAATGTAACAAAATAGAATAAAATTATCGTGAGACTGTTATCTGTGAAATACAATATTAAATTTTTGAAGTAACATGATTTTATTATACTTTATTTAATAATTGGATTGAAAGTGTGGCTACACATATTATTAGATCAGAGTTAACTATAATTATGATTAATTATACAAGATTTAAGATTTTAATAGCTCCAAATTATTAAAAATGTGCAATTATTATGTGAACAGCTTACAATGCCTTAATGATTCAAAATTTATAAAAAAAATTAAGGTTATGTAGAGTACTTAATTTCGTATGAGTTTGGGTATCTCTAATTAGTCTAAAAATTAATTAAATATATATTAAAATACATATTTTTTTTTTATTCATCCTCCATCAGAAAATTATTTCTCCCCCTTTAGTCATAAAATAAATAACAATAAAAAGATTTTGTATATTTTATAAAGTTTCTATCCTTAAAGGATTCGTACTATTTTATTGTTCTTGTTATGATTGACTAAACTAAGAATAGAGGATGATAAAATTCAATATTGTTCAATGAATCTCAAAATTAAATGAAATAAAAGCAATTTTTAAAAAACATGAACAAATAATGCTAAAAAAGTTACACATAAATATTCTCTCTGTCCAATGCATTTACCAAGAAAAACCTTCCCGAACATCGATAACCCATGGAATTAAAAAAAAATAACACCATTTAAATAATAATATATTGTAGAATGATATACTATGGAAACTAAAACTTAAACAGGAAAATAATGTATTATTTTGCCTATTAAAAATAATGTTTTTTTTTTTCAAAATAGTGTTATTTTAATATAATTTTACTGAAGATACTGTATATATTCTTTAATATTGACTAATGTAATTTTTGGCCAGATGTAGTTTTTATTTTTTTTTGTTCATATCTGTTATTCATAAGGGACCTCGTCCCAGAATAAAGTTTACTTTCTATCTATCTATCTATTAGTTTGTTTAAATAAATAAAGAAAATTAATCACTGAAGTTACTAACAGCCTGAAAATTTGGTGATGTAGAAGTTCTTACGTCAGATGGTAAACATTGCATAGTTTTATCTTCATAACGAGTTCCACCTTGACTTGCCATTGGGCGATTTAATGTACTATTCGCATTACTAGGAGAATTAGGACCAGCATTACGGGCTGCAACAGTTTTTGTAACAAAATCCTGTTCTTTCCATCCATGTTTTTTATAGACTTCTCTTAATTCTTGATGTTGCCACATAGTAAAAAGAACTTGGCCAGCAAATTTTAACACACGTGGTGTATACTTCTGACGTTGTCTTGTAATATTCATTAATCTCTCAACACCACCGGACTCTAAAAGAGATCTAAAAAATAAAAATAAATATATACATATTTACACATAAAATATATAATTGATTGAATTTCTTCTGAACTCATTCTAAACCTAATATACCAATATAACCACTAGGAGTCATAAATAATAACTTCATGTATTACCTTGAAAATTCAGCATTCTTTTTAATTACTTCATTTAACGTCGCCAAGACTGCAGCTATTGTATCATCTGATGTTCCTTGGTCATGTTGTGGGTTTCCTGAGGGTAATTTTTGAACAAGATCTCGCATAGCATACTTTCCTATACATACATTAATCATTTGTAAATCCATATCATAACTAAAGATTATATAATTAAAATAAAATGAGATAATAGAAAACTAATAATCAAAAGATTTATGATATTTTACACAGCATATCATCTATTAATTTCAAAATTCAAATAAAAAACTTATCATCTGTTTAAATTGTGATTACTTTCCTTTAAACAAATGTAACAATACAGTATTTTTTTTTTAATATATCCTGTTTTGACTTTAGGTGTGCACAATGAATTTTACATATATATATCTAATTCCATTTAAACTTTACCGTATTGATTGAATGAATTTTTTTTAAGATTGAAAATTTTGTAAAGATGGGGATTGGACCTCGTAACATCAACATTGAAGTATGACAAAAAACAAATCGGATCCGGGAAGTTAAATTTCACCAATATATTTTTGAAATTATCAAAAAGTACAATATCAAGAACAAAAGGAATAGTTTATTTATAATTCAAATTCATTGATGTTTATAAAATGTTGCAAAACATTAAATAAATGCCTACTTTAAAATTTCAATACAGAGAGTAAAAAAATAATTGAAGGCGTCAATCTTTTAATACTGTCTGGAACTATTGTACCTCTAATAAAAATCGTATGGTAATTAAATATAACCATACAATTTAGTCTGAAACCATGCCAGGTATTAGAGAAAAATTGATGTGTTGCAATACTTTTTTTTCTCTCTCAGTATAGACATAACTATATCATCCATTATTATTTACCAATTAACTCTTTGTTCCTTTGGTCAATAGCTAAATTGCGTAATGCAGTAGCTACAGCACAAACAACTCTATCAACTTCCATTCTCAAGAGTTCTACCAAAATAGGTAACCCCTTTTCTTTTCTAACAGCAGCTCGTATTTCAATACTTGGTTGCCAATAGCAAGCAGCTAAATTTTGAAGTGCTCCAGCTGCTGCTTCAAGAGTTTCAGGATTAGAACAACTTTGAAGCAAACACAGGTATGCTTGAACCACCTAAAAGCAAACAAATCATAAAGATATTACAAGAAGACTAATACAAACTGATTTTTTTTTTTTCAAATTGTCCTTATAAAAAAAAAAATACTAATCGTGTAATTGATGAGAATGATTGTTCTAACTACTTTATTAATCAAATGGCCTTGTGCATGGCTAGTAGGGATTAATGCTCCTCCAGATACCCGAGTTCAGTACACAGCACTAATACCACATTATATTCCACTATACATTACAACTGACACAAGGACATCTACACTGGACCGATCAATGGTAATAGACATGGAAAACGTCAAATGGACTTAAGACTAGGATATTAGAATATCCTATTGCTGTTGTAATTTAGGGCTTAGAGGTGTAAGACCCGGAGGTCATCAATGCCTATTGATCAACTTCTATCGTTATAACAGATTAGAAGGACTTTAGGTCCTCCTAACAGAATTGGACAACTATAGAGTGGACATAGCCGCTATTCAGGAGGTCTACTGGGTGGTCAGCGGTCTTATTGAGAAGAAGAACCACACTATTTATTATAACTGCCACGTAAAGAATCATAAGTTTGGAACTGGATTCGTAGTAAGAGGGTGAATGAGACACCAAGTTATTGGATTCTCACCCATTAATGAACGACTTTGTACTCTTCATATCAAAGGAATGTTTTATAATTACAGCCTGACGGAAGCATATTCAATCATATTGACCATCTGCTAATTAGTGTGCAACATAGATCTAACATATTAAGCAATAGAGTATATAGGGACGCAAAACGTAGATTCTTACCACTGATTGATCATGGCTCGGATTAGGGAAAGAATCACTAGTACATAGATATGCAAATCAGCTGCACAAAAGAAGTGAAACATAATGAAACTAAAAGAAGCTGATGCGCTAACTTCCTTTAAAAAATGACTAGATGAAAGAATGACTGATAAACTACGCACAGTAAATTTAGATAATATTCAGGATACATGGAATGGTCTGGAAACAGTCATAACCAATACAGGAGAGGCTACCCTTGGATTTCAAGATCCCGACAGGAGATCCTCATGGTTTGATGAAGAATGTATAAGAGTGTAACTGAAGCAAAAAATGTGTCCAACAGACTGATGGTATAGAAGCGGTATACAAGGCAGGCAACCGAAAAATATAGAATGGAAAGATAAGTTGAGAAGACTCCATTCCAGAAAGAAAAAACGAAAATTGGAGAATAAACACTCCACTTGAATAAGTGGAAACCAGTAGGAATAGAATGTTTTATCAAAAAAGTTGATAAGGGAAGGATCCCTTTTAGGTCGAGACTTCAATCATGCAGAAAAAAGCATAGTTCACTTTTTCACTTTTCACTCAAGAAAGAAGCACTTGAAAGATGGGCTAGACATTTTAACGACCTACTGAATGAGGGAGTGGCTGAATCAGAGCAGGATTGTGGGAGGCACAATAACATCATGTTCGATGATAGAGAAATAGAACCCCCTGAGCTTGAAGAGATCTAGGATGCGATTGCCAGATGAAAAATCATAAGGCACCAGGAGGTGACGGACTACCACCTCAGTTATTTAAATATGGTGGGGAAGAGCTACATAAGCTCATTTATGATCTGATATTCTCCACCTGGACACAGGAAAGAATGCCTCTTCAATGGAAATATGTGGTCATATGTACTGTACACAAGAAAGGAGAAAAATTGGAATGCGCTTACTACCGAGGAATTTCGTTAGAGAATATAAGATACCCTCCAACAGATGTTTTATAAACCTAATGTGGCCAGAATAATAAAATTAGGAAGGTTGAGTTGGGCAGAACACATAGCTCGGATGGAGATGTCTGAAATCCTGATAAGAGTGCTTGAGGAGCCATTACACTTTACCAGCAGAGCTGGCAGACAGAGATTGAGATGGGCAGATGGTGTGGCAGATGACGCTACAGACCTGTTAGGAGTCAGAAACTGGAAAGTGGGGGGACAGAATAGAGAAATTTGACAGCTCATTGAGGAGGCCAGGACCAACTGAGGGTTGTAGAGCCATTAAGATAGATAGATAGAATGAGGAGCATCAGAATGATAAATATATTTAACTTTATTACATATCAATTCAAATTTAAAATAATAAATAAAACATCTGAATGAATAGCAGCTCGTTAACCACGACTTATTTTTTAATTTAGTAGTGGATGACTTTTAGGGATTTTTTTTCCAATTGATTAACAAATAAATAGACAAATAGGCTTTACTATAATATTGGAAAATATATAAAGAATTACTTCTGGTTGCCATAATAACTCCATCCCACAAAGAGGTTCATTTCTTTGATTTTGAGAACGGTTACAATTAGTTTCTTTCTGTAATACCAGATCAGTTTCCTTTTTTTTCTTACTTGCACCAAAGCATCCAAGATTTTCACCTGAAACATGATTTCAAATTAATACATGTCAATCAGAAGGTTTTACAGATGCTCCTTTGATCCAAACAACATTAACAAAAGCCTGACACAAGTCATATGTAATGGCATATGTCATATGTAAGACAATTAATTTAAAAGTTAAATAATAACGAAGATAAAAGTTAATGGAATTGAAAATTTTCATTAATCTAAAGAAACTAGGTCTTCCAGAATAAAAATTATCTTTCATTTCATTATTCATGTTAACCACTAAAGGGTTTTTAGTTTATCATACTGATTTGTTGATTTATATTTAAATATTTTTATATTTATTTTGTTGCTTTAAGGTAAAAAAAAAAAAAAAATACCTTTTTGATGAGGCGATGCTTTGGTGGTCTGCATAGGCAGAGGGTTTTTGTCATAATTAGGGTCTTCCACTTCCTGGCACCTATATGACAAATTTCTCAGAATACAAACACAGTTTTCAACACTTTTATTACCAATATTTGATTTTTCAATAGCCAAACGAACTACATAAAGTACTGAATCAACTAATCCTTCACATTCACGAAGCTTTTTCCGAGCATATTCACCAGCAGAACTGACATTCCTGTAAAAAAAAAATTAATTAAAATATTTTTCCACTAAATCATTTTTTAGCTACACACATTCACCTATACACAGTGCTGGCCTTAGAAATTCGGTGCACCCGGACAATAACACCATCTCCCTACCCTAAAAAAATTAAATTTATTTCTTAAGCTGTTTTATACATTGCAGCATTTGAATTTTATTTCATTAAATATTTATCTAACACAGTTGTTCAATTAATAGGCTAAAATTAATTATTTTAATATGTTCTGAATTTTTTTGTTTCAATTTCTAATAAATGGTGAGCGCCTTTGATGACCGGTGCCCCAGGGCTATTGCCCCCGGTGCCCCACTCCAATGCCAGCACTGCCTATACACGTATCTAAGCATTATCTAGCTGTTGATCAAATATTTAAATTTTGGCAAATATTAGATAAACAATTAGAGTACAACAGTGCTGTTCATCAGCTTTAAATCAATTTTCAAAAGTGAATAAACATCAGAAGCTGCATAATATTGTAATTGAGGAAGGAATTAAAAAAGTTAGGACCGACAACTGTTTTACGTAGAAGTTAGATGTTCATTCATATTTAAAATAAGATAATTCCCTATAATATACACAACCAGATAAGATAGATAAGAAAATGTGGACTATATCAGTAAATGTAGTCTAATACTGAACCTGAGTACTCCAGAAGTATTTCTAAAAACAGTTGACCAGCATGTATCACCAAGAGAATTAGGTCCCCAACCAGAATGAGGTATGATAATTTGATTAACAATTACAGTGAGTCCATCATCAATAATTGCTCTCTTAAGATCCTGTAATTAGAAAAAAATTAATCCACGGATCCCTGACTTATGGCATGTAATGAAACTATTATTTAAAAATGCATTATTATTAAAAAAAACAACATGTTTTTTCAAGTTATCCACTTTAGGTTAGGAGCATCTATGAATCAAATTTACTATTTGTTCTTCCTTTTCCCTACAATTTTAGTAGCTGATGCCGTTAATTTCTTTTTTCTTCTGTTAAAAATAAATCTCGGTAACTATAAAATTTCTTGGATACTTGATTATTCCCAATTTTAATTTTTGAAAATCCCAAAAATTCACAATAAATATGAAGTCACTAGGCATCACTAATATTAAAATAGTATAAAGTTATAAAGTGTTTCAATATGAACAATAAGTGTTAATATTAGAGATAAGCCAATCTGTAGTTCCTCTTTTTTTCTTGTAAATTAAGATTGATTATTTATTTACTTTTTCTTTTAACTAATTTTAAGTAACAGATTTATAGAAGTTGTAAGTTAAGATTTACAATATTCTTTACAAAATAATATTCACTTTTTTAAAAGTTGATTTATTCTTTGCAAATATTACTCACATCATTATAATTATTATAATTTAAACTAATTTCATAAATGCAATATTGATATTCGTTTTTAAAACTTAATTATTTTATATATATAATAATCAATCTTTTTAATTAATAAAGATAAAGACTACTGACTCCCCAATATTTCCAAAACAAATTAGTATTAATAATAAATACAATCAAACAATTACTACTACCACTAAGAATGTTGATTAATTTGTTATTATTCGTATTTTTAATTATAATGAACAAAATAATAAAAATCTATTTTATAGACTCAGTTAAATTGTTGACAAATTTGCATTGACAAAAAGTGTCATTCTTTATAATATACAAAAAGTAAAAAAATTTAGCAATAAATAAGTAGTGGAAAAAGGCAGCACAAGTATGCTGAACTAGCAAAAATGGAGAAGTCTAAGACAGAAAAAGATACCTGAAAATTTGACCAGATAGCCTACAGAAGTCGGACGCCTTTCAAGGTAATCCCTTCTATGTCTCAAAACAACATTGGAGTCCTCCGGACAGATGCCCCACTCTGCATAGCGGAACGGAAGAGGTACTTACAAGGCCTGTTAAATGTTGAGAGAGTGAAATACATGGAGAACACACTGCTAACATACCAGTTGAAGTAGATTTAGAGCCTTCTGATGATGAGAAAGTAGTCAAAGCAATCAACTCAAGAACAATAAAGTCCCAGGTATTAATGGCCTTCTAGCTGAATTATTCAAACAAGGAGCAACCAAACTTGTCAGATCTCTTCACATTATCATCCTGACTGGTCTGAAGAGGTCATACTTGAAAAATGGAGGCAGACCTTAATATGCCCTATACACAAGAAGGAAGATATGTTTAAGTATGGTAACTATAGAGGAATATCCCTCCTCACATGTACCTACAAAGTATTATCAAATATAATCTTCCAGCACTTCCTCCGATTTGCCGAGTGGGAAATTGGACAATAGCAGTGTGGATTCATGGAAAAGTCAACAACAGACCAGATTTTCAGTTTTCATGGAATTTTGGGATAAAAATTAGAGAATATGGATTCAAAACTCATTATCTGTTAGTTGATTTTAGGTCTGCTTGTGATAGATGCTATCGCTACAAAACTTTTATGCTTATATTACCTCCTAAACTTGTTCTGCAGATCAGGACGAGCATGAGGGGCATCAAATGTTTTGTTAAAGTCCAAAGAAAGTTTCTTGATAGTAAGAGGAGTGAGGCAAGAAGATGCTTTGGTATGCTTCCTCTTTAATTTCATCCTTGAAAAAGCTGTCAGAGAATCAGGAATTCAGACTAATTGCACTGTGTTTAACAGAACAGTTCGGCTACTAGCGTATGCTCACACCTATCTAGCAGACTTGTCTCGCAATGCACCAAGGTCATCCTCTACAAAACCTTCATCCACCCTTATGGTTCTGAGACCTGAACTACTGCAAAAGCAAATAAAAGAGACCTTACATTTCAAAGGAAAAACTTTGCCGAATCTATGGGCCCATCTGTGAGAACAGACAAAAGAGAAGGCATAGAAATAGCGAAATCTATAACTTCTATAATGAGCCTGATATACTTGCAATTATCAAAGTGGGCAGGTGGGTACGACACCTCCCATGGATGCCAGATCACTCAATCCTGAAGAAAATAATAATGGAATAGCTATTTGGTCAGCGTACAGTAGGATAACCTTTGTTGCAGGTGACTCAATTCATCAGAGTAAGAAATTGGATGGCAGTAGCACAGAATAGGAACACATAGCAATTACTAGTGGAGGAAGCCAAGACTCGCTTGCGGGTTGCTGAGCTAAATTAATAATAATAATATTATGAAATTATACTACTTAATTTAACATGCTTAGTCACTATAAAAATTAAGGTCATTCTTCGTCCTACTTAATTTAAATTTTGATTACATAAATGCAATACATTTTACCTCACAAGAGGATAAGTTCCAAAGTACACCAGTAACCAATTCTTTAACTTCTGCATCTGAAGATTTTCTAAGCAAATTTATTAATAAAGGAATACCACCAGCATTCTTTATGGCCCTCTTATTTTCATCATTTTGTCTACCATACGAAAGATTCCTGAAAACCAGAATCACAAATTCCATGAGCTCCCAAAGAATATAACTAAAAAACAAACATCCTGATATATATTCAGGTGAGTAAGCATTTTATATTTTTCTATTATCTATAAGCTGCTAGTTAAAGGCAGTTTCTGAAACTATTCTGTGATTTCATGTCATACATCAACAGAGACGGCAGATGAAGAAACAGAATCTGTATGATAGTAGGTAGATCTAATGATAATGGAACTTGAACAGTAAATTTGCAGCACCCCAAAATATAATCAAGAGCACTATGACAGGAAAAACATCTACAATGCTGCATTGGTTTCCTCAGGTAACTATTCAAGAAACTATACTGACCATGTTCTTAAGATAAGAAGACAGAGTTCTATGCTTAAGCAGTCAGAAAACATAGGCCAAAAGAAGTAACGCACAGAAGGACCATGGATAAAAGGAGAAGAAGCCGGAGTAAAAGAAACAGATTGCTCAAAGGCTGGATGAAGCATTAGAATACTCTTTTAAAGAAAATTCAGTTGATGGATTAATGAACCATTGTAAAGAAACAATTAAGCAAGTAGCTGAAAAAGTACTGGGGTTAGAGAGACCATCTCAAGTCGTAATGATTCGATCGGGAATGCTATACAGCAACAAGGCCTATTGGTGAATTTTAATTAAAAAAATAATAGTTAACTTTTTATTTGGCCAACGACAAATTAATTCTCAAAATACAAATTAATCCCTGAAAAAAATTACCAATATATAGAGAAAATGAAAACAATAGTCAACTACATCATATGTTCATTAATAGTAACTAATGCACACTGATAAATTATTTTAAACCTTAAAATGTATTTTTCTATACCTTCTGCCATCCAGGAAAATGTAATCAAACTGCTTTAAACCAATGATTTCTATTTGTAGATAAATGGGACAAAGCGGCCACTGCCTTGAAGAGTTGAACTATAAGTACAATCCCCTTTTCTCTAAAGGAGTGAGGGAGAAAGGAGAGGTTTACTTAAAGTACTAGATTTTTTTTCAAAGAAAAACAGTAGTTAAACGAATTTCAATTTCTGAACATAGTTGGAAACTATACTTTTTAATTTTCAAATATAACATTTACAAACATTAGTCATGGATTCTAATTTGCATAGATAAATCCTAAGAAATTATTTAACAATCCTGAAATGGAAAAAAAATATAAAAGAACAGTCTGCTGAATAGGAAAACACAAAACAAAAAGTAATAATCATTTCCATTACAGTAATCTCAACATTACTCTTCTCTTCTATAACACTATATGATGCAAACACATGTTTATATGGAACAGAAATTTTCAAAGTTTGAAATCACTGAAAATATTTAAGATCAAACGATCCATCATGCAAAATCAGACTGGCGAGTTCGGACGTCAATGACAGCCATGATGATAAATGAATTGTTTTGATGCAGAACTACATTGTTAAGATTTGTGTCCTTAATTTTTAGAGAAATGTATAAAGTACTGAAGTAGAATAAGGATTCTTATTTTTTCCTCTGTAACATTTTTATTTCAAGAAAAAAATTGGTTGTCAATTGAGATAATATGTCATACGTTAATTATTTATGAGATAATAATATTGCACTGTTAATAATAAAAACATATTAATAAAATTAGTTTCATAACAGTATTAGAATTGTATTTAGATACAGTTGATAACCAACTATGGGATTAAACATATATGTCAAATTGAAGATTACAAGCTTACTAATTATAAAAAAATCATAAAAAATCAATGTTTAATCAAAAATAATTATTGTTGAATAAAAGGTATATACCTCAGAGCACCACATGCATTCCTGTATACATCAGGAGCATCATGATTTAATAAATTTACTAGCGGTGGAATACCACCCAGAATACGAGTTTTTTGCTTATTTGGATCATCCATATAACATAAATGTTGAAGGTATGCTGCAGCATTTGCCTTAATAACATTGTTAGGATTATTTAAGAAACTTATAACTTCAGTAAGATTGGGATCCCGCCACCGAACACCTAAAACCAAAATTTGGTAATTTAATCCATATTATATTATACAAAACAAAGTTATTAATATATGTTATTTCAGAGTCAATAATGGTACCCTTTGGTTTTTTATTTAAAATATATAAATATATATAAGCCATTCGACACATTAAGGCAATGGAATAGCAAAGATACAAATATATAACCAGACTTTCAAGCACCAATACAAAAAGGAATTACTATATGATGTCATAAAAAATGACGATTGTTGACAAATTCCTACTCAACATAGTGCCTGTTTAGAAGTCAACTCATGGTGAACCAGTAGTCTTGATGAATAATACACTTTTTTTAGTTATGCATCTCATGATTATGAGTGGATGAATGAGAAAGTGAGAAGAGGAGGAGAGAGGAAGAGAGTGAGAGAGATAGGGAGGGAGGGAGATGGAGAGACTTACCTTACAATATATCATAGATAAGCAAGAGGAAGTAAAAAACTGTAGTTAAATCAATACATTAGTTTTATTACTTGAGAGAGAACACTACCTTCCAGATTACAAAGAAAAAGACCTCCATACAACAGAAAAACAGCAAAAATGATTAAATAAAATTGTCAGAAATACTCTGTGGTCTGCAGTGAAGACCACACTAGCAGTTTTGAGTCTTAGATGGTATTCACTTATAGTGGAATCTAATGGTCTTTAACATTACCTTGCACCCCTCTTAGTTCAAAATTTTTCATCAAAACCTCGAGCGTTAAATGGTTAAAGAATTTCAGTTCTACGAATTAATGATTAATTGTAGAAAGGATAGGTGGTTTATTGAGTAGAAATATTATCCTGTAGCTAAGCATAGGCTTTAGTACCTAATAGATATATTAACCTAATCATAAAAATAAAGAATAAATCAATTGGGTTTCATTGCCAATCAAAATCAAAAGAAAAAAAAATCAGAGCAATAAGTAAATAATCAGCCAAACACAAAAAAAAACAAAAACAGTAATAGCTATTTTTGTACTACACATGTGTCCTTGTTTGCCATATATACACCAACACACACAGGATGAATCAGAATTCTGTGTTGGGAGAAATAGAGCTTTCTTAACAATAGATAATGTTTTCTTTCATGTTGAAAGCACTTTTCATGAATCTTTGACAGTGACTGTTCATATATAAAATATGTCCATCTAACAGGATATAGGATATTGTTGCCAATAGTGCATTTAAAATTCCAATTTTAAACTCTGATGAAACAAAGCATGTATTTTAGCTTGAGAATGGTCAACCCTAATAGATCCTGTGTGTTTGAATGCATAATTGTTTTAAAATCAGAACTTAGCTTAGTTTAACCGCCCAAAAGTCCTCTTTAACTCTACTTTCATCTTAAGTAATTTTTGTCTAGTTTACTGTGAAACAATTGTTAATTATTTAGATTAAGGTTTTTTTTTTTTTTTTTTTTTACTTCTTATTCAACAAAAAAGGTGACTTACTAAAAAAAAAAAAAAAAAAAAACTTGAAATTCCTACTTTTCTACAAAAAAAAAAAAGGATTATCATTAATATGAACTATTTTGAAGCTCTTGATGTCTACTATTGCCTCATTAAATATTTTCTTCTACTTACAAGACATTATATATATATATATTTGTATAAACAAAAGTATAATATAAATATCTGAAAATAACAATAATAAAACATGATTATAATAAAAACATCTATCAAGGAGATGGTCTGGATGGCAATGAATAACATCATTATTGACAGAGTTTCTAGGGAGTCTCGGTTGGATTCCCTGCATTAAATAAAACTTTTCCTAGTTTTCCCTGCAGGGATACTCCGTTTATACACCGTTTATTTATTGAAAGCCAATGTTGAGTGCAATATGGTCTGAAACATTATTCAATTAATTGTGTTTTTTAATTCTAACCTCCTACCAGACCATCTTATCTTGAATTATTAATAGGATCAGGTAATACATATATAATAAAAAATATCATATTGGACCAGATATACTTACCATGTTGAGAAGATTCACTTTTCTCACTTGGGCTTGGGGGAGTTTGCGGTCTATCCACATAATCATGAGGTTCAACATAGCGTGTAGTAGTGTAGGTAGGGTAAGTTGGCATTGCAGGATAAGGATAATGTTCATAATCATGGTAACCAACATAATGCCTCCCTGAAAAATATAGCTTGAATAAATCTTAATTCAATTCAATTAATGGATTTAAGCAGGAATTGACATAATTAACATACATACCTTTAGCTAGAAAAAAATGTTATTTAATTGAAATGATAATTTCTCAAAGAAGTTTTGGTGTAATATTGTTGAATTTGAAAATCAGAACAGGGGAAGAAAAAATAATCTAAATTGGAATAAATACTAGTGTACTAGTGTAGAATAAATACTTTCCCACTGAAAGGAGTCTAGGGGAAACAGACAAGTGAGTGTGCGGAAGGGACCAAATTAGAGTGAAAGTTGGAGATGTTTTATGGGCATTCTTAGAGTGAAAAGACTATTTTTAACTAATATTGCAAAAATGTAATTTAATGACACAATATACTGTTGTAATAACAATGATTTATATTTAAATCATTTGTATATTATATTGATTTATATTGAATTTTATTTGTATGTAAGATATTACTGGCAACACTGAATGATCTAGCAGGTTGTGGCTGAGAGCTTTTTTCGTTGCATTGTTTATTATGCAATGTAACCCTATTATTAATATGTACGATGTGCCACTTTTTGAGTTGTAATAAAGACTTTGTATTTTATCTGGTATTATCTTCTTAATCCTTAACATATACAGATAGTTTCATCAAAAACCCTTCCAACAATATAACTTAAAATATCCCTAGACCACTTAAAACTAAATAAGAATATTAATATCAATAAAAATAATAATAAAAAAAAATAACATAACATCAATTAGCATATTTTTAGAACTGAAAACTTACTGAACTGAAAGAACAGACAAACTACAACTGAACTGCACCAAAGAACAAAAAAAAAAAAAAAAAAAAAAAAAAAAATCAGATTTGTTTATAAATAACAATCATGAAAAACACAAATTGCAAAGCAAACTGTAACTAAGGCTTAAGATCTTGACAATAAAATAGAAAAATTACATGACAAATAAAGGACGTATGGAACATAACAAATAAGACATAATTATCCCTTCTAGTGATCATAATCTTCAATATGATGAAATATTAAACAGAGTTTGGAAACAACTTTAAAAAGAAACCAAAGATTATAAAAATTAGGGCAAAACTTCAGAAAAATTACCAAATTATCACTTTTTTTTTCCCCCTTGTTGTAGACCAAGTCTGGTCCAAACAAATATCACTCAGTCTTTTTATTTATTTTTTCTTTTTTCCTCCTCCGCACTCCCCTCATCCTCTCGGAGTACTGTGCTTTCCTCTCCTTCGACCGCTTCTTCCTCTCAATCCCCTCTTTTCCTCTGCAAGGATCTTCATTTGGTCAACATAACTCTGGGATTCGGACTATATCTATACAAAACTCACTTGTAATATTAAGTCTGGCTATTTTGTTCTGGATAGCCCTTTATATTCTTGAGTCCTATCACTTTATCAACAATTTTCTTATTTAATCCTTTTTTGTCCATCCTGACCATATGCTCATAAATTTTTATTTTTCTATTTCTCGTTAATATCTTTAAATACTCTTCCCTTTTGTACAATTTATAATTATCCTTCATTCTGTAATCCCCCTCTTTTTTCTTAGGACCAGATATATTTCACAGCATTTTCTTTTCACTTTTGAAAAACACTTACATATTTGTAATCCCTATTGTTTCCACATCATACAATATAAACTGCTTCACCAGTTTCATAGTGCCTAAGTTTTGTCCCCCAAGATGAATTCTTTTTGTTGTATAAATATTCGGTAACAAATCTTAATCTATCTAATTTCCCTTCCCTAATTCTCATTAATTGTCTATCACCTCCATTTTAATTTACCTATTCCCCTAAATACTTAAATTGTTCACTGTCTTAATTTCCACATACTTTGTTTTTACAGTTTTCCTTATCATTTTAATATTTGTCACTATTTCCATCTTCATGAATGATATTTTTAAGCCTACTTTCCTGTAAGTCTTCTCATTGTCTTGTTTACTTTCTTCACCATACATAAGTGCCAAGTCAACTGTGAACACCACACATCGGACCTAACTTTGTCTAATACAACATTGAATAGAATAAATGACAACCCATTACCTTGTAATTATCATGTTTTAATTTGAATCAGTTTACTTATTTCTCCCCTAAACCTATCCAACTTTTGAGTAGGTCAATGTCAATTCGATCAAATTCTATTTTTTTTTTTTTTTTTTTTGCAACAGAATACCAAATAATCCCAACAGTATCAAATTATTACAATGGGAAAGACAGCAAAATGTATATTTCCAATAAATGGATGATTTATTAGCTGATAAAAATACCAGCAGAAAGACAAGAATAAATTTTAGACTTGAGCAAGCTAATAAAATAAAAAAAACAATAGGTAGAGAAATAACGAAACAGCAGATGGACAGATATATAATTTTGAGAAGCATTGAAAGTTTTTTAGAAAGGTTCATAATTGAAAATAATAAACCAGAAATGGAGTGTATATCAATAAAAATATTAAAGTAAAATCAGTTGTCAATATATATATTAAAAACTTAGAATACACGGAATAATTAAATTACTAGTCCTGAAATTTTTTAAAACCAATCATAAATTATAAAATAAAATAGACCAAAAAATCTGGTGCGGTGTGTGCATCACACAACTTTCACTTTTCACTCTCTTCTTAGTAAAAATAAGTATTTCTAGACAAAGGGAAATAAAAGTAGAAATTATAGACGGTCAATTATTTATTAAACAATTATTTACTATATGATTTTCATAGCTGTCTAATGTATTGTATTTTTTTTTTGTTACTAACCATTTCATTTTAAGAGTATATATTTTTAATTATTTAATTGATGATAATAAATAATTAAGTGCCATGAAATATTTTTAGTTTGACCAGAATGGCGCTATATTTATCTATATTTTATTGTGGGTATTTTCATTTGTTTAAATACCGGTATAATTTTTAAATCACTGTAATCTATACAATTAAATGTTAAATGATACAAGCGATAGCATTTATGAAAACTGCATATTTTTATGTAAATAATATTGTCGGAGTCTATATTATATTAAGCTCATGGTAGGTATGGAAGCTTGTTCTAATCTTTCAGGCGAGCTCATATTCCTTTGATCCCTCTATTACAACCATTCTTCGTTACGATCTCTTATTTCTTCTTTAGTTAACAATCAAATTCTTTCATAATTTATATTTAACTATTTTTTATATTAGAGTTAATTGTGAAATGGTTATTATTTCAAATGAAAAAAATTAAAAGCACTTTAGAGGAAGAAATATTGAAAATTAGCGATTAAAGCTCTGTTAGAGAACATCAATGAGAATAAAACCTACATTATATTAAAAACTGCTTAATTTTACACTGATATAATAAATTTAATCAAAATAGCTTAGAGCTGTTTTCGAGAAAAATGTGTAAAATCGATTATATAATGTGCTACTTCCGGTAAGCTGATTTTGACGAAAAAGTTGCTATAACATCCCAGGTATAAACAAACTTTAAATATGCAATTTCACTATCATATGACTTATCGTTTTTGAGCTAGGCTGTTCACATTCATACACACACAGACTATTTTGCGAAACTTGGTTATTTGGACTCAGGAGACCTCAAAACATGTATTCCCGTTGAAAACTTAGATTCGGCAATTTTCACGATCACAATACTTTCCCTTACTATAAATTTCAAATAGAGGTAAGTGAAAGTAAAAATAAATTATCTTCATTGAATTGTGCTAATAATAACATGTTCCACTACAACCCGGGAAGGGTCTCATGTTCAGTACTGTTTATTGATCAATGGTTGTGCAAAGAAGTGATTTGACCGAGATCACACTCAATCACCAGGTTTTCTCCTTAATTAAGAGAACCCACTTTATAGAGGCTGTGTGGACTATAGCACAATTCCAACTAGTGCCTGTCCCTAGCATTCTCCATGGATAAAGAGGAAGGAATTTTAAATTGGAGCATCACAGATAATGATTCCTCTAAGTTTAGCCCAGCTCTTAATTAACACAATAACATTACTTGCAGTAGTGAAAGGTAATGCATAAATGCATAACATCCCACTGTTACAAACATCTTTATAGTCTAAAAGACACTGTAGGGTTTTAAATAACTATATAGAATTCTAGGATTGTCATTTTGGTGTTGTGGTGAGTAGAAAAAAAGCCGGTTTGGGTATGCTCAATATCTGAAAATACCATGAGGTTAGCTTTACCCATGTGGAATTGTGACATGCCAGTGTTGATTTACAAGACCAATTTGACAAGATTGGATTAGCTGTAGCAGAAGTACAATATGTATTTAGGATTCTTGGTTTTGATTTTCCTTCATTAACTTTTCTTGGCTATTGTACCAAGGACTATCTTAAATCAGCTTGGCATTTTGATGAAGGCTAGCTATACTGGTCAGTCACTTTTTTTTTTTCATCAGGATTTGGAATACTATCTAATTATAGTATCCATTCCTGGGAGATAGGAGCCACCAGAACCAGATAATTGCCATATAATATAATGGGGATACATAATCATGAAATCAATCATTATCTTTAAGGACATAATCCATAACTAGACAGAAGATAATGAGAAGCAATAAATAAACTGCTTTTGGATATCTTAAACTGAAAGGCAGAGAAACCTCCTCAGTTATCAATCAGGAGGCAGGATAGATTCAAATGAGAAAATATTTGAGGTAAAAACAGCAAATCCTCAAATAAAAATCTTTATTCTCAGAAGTGTGAGAAACCATTAGTCCCATCTACTCCACTAGTACACTAATAATATGATGCTCATGATTTAAACTCTGAAATTTTGACAAAAATGTTCTGAATTAAACTTTATTGTTTAACAATAAATATATCATAAGCTAAGCTAAATTATATCAATTTTTACCCTGTTTAAAATTTTAACAAGAAATTCACTTTTTAAATTAAACAATAAAAATTATGAATAATTTTATCGGAATGAAATTTTAATTTAATAATTGTGGCACCTTGGTCTGTAGCATAAGTTTGTTCAGGTGGTTGAGCCAATTCATAAGGATAGGCAGGATGAGGAGCGATTCCTGGAAATGCCATGCTAGGAACAGTAACATAATCTACTCCTGATCCACCATCTAAGGTTAATTGATGTACATCACATGTAACCTTTGCAACAGAAGGTACCTATACATAGAATAAAAAAAGGGAAATGAATTAGAACAAATATAATTAAGTATATTAAATAATTTTTAGTAAGAATCATAACTTAAATCTAATGATAAGAAAAATATGTAATAACTTTTTCTATACAATGAAACTCAGAAACTATTTTAAAATACTGTAATAAATTAATCTAAACATATTGACAAAGTTTAAAATGATGAATTAGTCCACAGATTGTTGAATCTATTTTGGAAAATTACACGTTAGTATTCGTCCGGTCATATGATTGCTAATAGACACAGGCCCTCCATCTAACTTTCACACATATACATTAAGTACAGCACATTACACTCACACTATAAAGTAAGATCACTTACATCGCACACCCTAGAGTCACCTCCCCTCCCTCCTCCTCGACAGAGATACAGGTATACAAGCACCAAGCCCCCACCTTACTAGGGTACCACTACTAGTATACTAGTGTACAGAAATGAGGGTTAAACCCCTCCCCCCAACCTGAAGCTAATATTTCGCTGAAACCAAAATCAGTCCCGGGTATTGATTGTCACAAACGGAAACAATCTAGCAACCCCTTTAATACTTTTAATCTCTGATCTTGGAACATTCTTTAACTTTAGAGACACACTCCTTTATCAAATCGAACATTTCAAACTGGATATAGTTATCATACAGCAGATCAGGTGGAATGGCCACAATACTCTTGAAAATACACCACATACCATATACTATAGCAGTGCCCTTCATAAACTGATAGGATTTGTGAAGAGGACAATTTAGGCAACTGGTCATGGTCTGGACCTGTAAACCCGCATATTTGCTAAGGAAGGGAAGTTCTATAAATACAGCATTATTAATGTGCATACTACAACAGAAGCTTCGAGTGAGGAAGATAAGGGACACCTTTTATGAACAGCTTGAAAGAACCTTGATCAGTGTCAAAGGTAGGATATGAGAATAATTGCTGAAGAGAGTAATGCAAAAATAGAGAGATACCTCACAACCATAAGGAAACATAGTCTTCATGACTAATCTAACAATAATGGAACAAGGCTTATTAATTTAGCAGCCTCCAAAGACAGGATCATTGGAAACATCCTTTTCACACACAAGGATATTCATGAAGGCAACTGGCCCATATCAGATATGGAACATGTTAATCAAATAGATTACATCCTAGTCGATAAAAGGCAAAGGTCCAGCCTTCAAAATGTAAGAATATTTGAGATGGCTGATAATGTAATGGAACCAAGAAAAAAGGATGCAAGGCCCCATGGTTCGACGGAGAATGTTTGGTAGCCATTAATACTCAGAATATAGCTAACAAAAATATGTTAAGGAAAGGGATTGAGGGAGCTGTCGAGGAATATTAAAAGAAGAGATGAGAGGAAAAAAACTCAATAAAAAAAATTAGAGGCAAAGAGAGAAAGATGAATTGGAGAGGGCTGAAAAATACTGGAGAACAAAAAAAAAAAAAATTTGTATACATTTCATCCACCTTCACAGACTTTCCTATTCGAGTTAAGAAGAAAATAAATCAACGTGTAATGAGTTGGTGTTGGAAGGGCCTTTTAATGGCTACTCCCTTTATTTTGATTATTCAAATTTGGAAATAAGTGAAAAATGTTTATCAAATGTTCTAAATCAAAACACAAGAAGGAAATTAAACAGTTCGATAGATTATAAAATTCTATTCAATTTTCTCAACCTAATGCATTAGGTAGTCTTAAATTCTCTCGATGTATGGTAACTTGACCTCACCAGATCACGCTGTTTCTCCAGAGACCATAAAAAAAAAATACTTGCCAATCAGAAGTGGTCGTATTCGTTGGTAGATGTAAGCAAGTCAAAAATCATTCGCTTTCCTTCAAAGTTTATTAATTTTATGATGGAAGAAATCTTTTCTAAATAAAATTATCCCACCCAGAGACCAAAAAAAAATGTTCAAACCGGACCTGGTCGGATCTAGGTAAGACAAAAACCAACCTCTTTTGTTAAAAGGAAGGTATGACAACACAGCAAGGGAAGGTTACAATCAAACAGCTGATTAGAGACACAAATGACTAATAAATATCATGCAATTTATTAGTTAATAAAAAATCATAAATATATTATAAAATAAAAATTAAAAAAATGCATAAATATAAAAAATATGAAGTGAAAAGATATAATAATGAGAAAAAAGAAAATAATTAATTATACATATATAAAAAAGCAAGGTCAAAAGGTTTTCATCAAATACAGCTGCCTACATAGATAAAGGCAAAATACAAAAAATAAAGCTTCATTTTTTCAACTTATCTAAGATACTCAATGTTTCAGAATAAAAGTTATTCAAGTTCTACTGTAAGTCCTGTAATTCCCCAGCATTATTCAGATTCTTTGCAATATGCTTAGCCTCAAATATCATTCTCTCTTTCTATGGCACTCGTACATTACTAAAATCAAATTAACGTTTTAATATTTTAGAGTGCTGAGCTAATGCAGCTCCTTTCTGTTAATATTCTTGCAGTCATATTGATGCTGATACATTCTTCTATGCACAGTTTGGGAAGTTTTACCAACATATACCTTCCAGCAACGCACACACCCTATTTCATATACTACATCACATTGTTGCTGAGTTAATATTTTATCTTTAAGAGGGGATAAAACTTGCTTATCCTGTTAATAATTCTAATAGTCAATTTAATGCCATTAACATCAAAATTGGGGTCAAGGAGTTTTGTGGGGTAGTACCTCTTTTAGGGTAGACCTGGAAAATGGTTCTCACAAAATTTCAGGGGTGTAGTGGACGAGTTTGTGAAGCCAACTAGGAGACTCTGAGGATACTTAAAAACCCAAGACCGTCCACGCGCCGTGAAGAACCGCATCCTGCTCAAGATGGTCCTAAATTCGACTAAACATGGCGGATCTAGACCGGGAGGTCAATAAAAATCCCTGGTGTGAGGCAGCAGTAGCACCAGTACTGGCAAAGAGCCGAAAACAGCAGAAGTCAGCTGGGTCCATGGCCGGCAAGCATCAGGCAGAGCTGGAGTCAGGCAATCTACCTAGGGATCCCAACTCCAGATAAACAGTGGGACCCTGTTGTCCCTGGGGAAGGGGCCTCTTCTGTTCAACTAATCACTCGGAATTATTGATACAAAGCACACGTTGCCTCGGAATAGGACAGATACAATGGTTACGACATGGCGCTCAAAAGGACATCAGGTTCGGAACGTGGAACATAAAGACTCTGACTTCCAAAAAGATTGAAATAGTGGAGGAGATGGAGACCTATAAGGTTGACATACTGGGAATTGACGAAGTAAGGAAGAAAGGACAAGGAGAAGTAAGATTTGACAAAGGCTATGTGCTTATTTACTCAGGAGTGGTGACTGGACTGACTGCCAAGGAGGAAATTGGCATGATTATAACTGAAAGAAGGCTGTTCGCCAAAGTAGAAGACTGGGAGCCAATCTCTTTAAGAATAATAGAGGCGAACATGGAACTATCAATAGAAAGAGTAAGTGTTGTGCAAGTGTACGCCCCAACTGAGGATGCCGATGTTCTAGATAGGGAATAATTCTATGCGGATCTAAAGAGAGAAATCATAAGAGGTCAAAACCAAAACAGAGCCATTATTATGATGGGTGACCTAAACGCAAGGACTGGAAGAGAACATGCTATAGCACATGGTGTAATGGGACTACATGGAGGTGAGCATACCAGGTATAGAAATGGTCAGAGGCTCATAGAACTCTAAGCAGATTATGATCTTATTGGAAACTCCATGTTTCCACATAAACTAGTCCATAAGATCACATTTTCTACTGAGGAAAGAATTACAAATAACATTATAGATTATTTTATATAACAGCAGAAACATCAGAAGATATTTTAGAGATATAAAAATCATTAAGAGGGGCAGAAATAGGGTCAGACCATTATCTCTTGATTGGAGACACTCAAATCTTCCAAGCAAGGAAAAATATTAAGAAGAAATACAAGAAATAGATATTTCAAAGTTGCATATACCAGAGAAGAAAATAGAGGATGACGAACTCCTCACTCAGAAACTTCAGAATCACACAATGGATCGAAATGTGGACCAGCAGCTTTCACTGCTAAAACAAAAAGAACAAAGTAGTGGAGTGAGAGAGTTAAAACTGGAATTGCAAGGAAAAAGCTGGCTTGGAAAGCATACTTCAAGACCAAAAATGCAGCGGACTGGGAACTCTATGCCAGGAGAAGGAATGAAGCCAACAAAATAGTTAGAGTGGCACAGAAGAAGAGCTGGGAGGAATTTGGTCAGAGCCTCCAAAATTACTATAAAGAAAATATAAAAACCTTTTGGAAAACTATTAAGGGAAAACAAATAAGCCCATAAGGAATATAAAGGACAAAGGAGGACTACTGGTAACTAGAGATGAGGAAATCTTGAAGAGATGTTACCGCCATTCTGCTGAAGAGTTATCCAATGAAAGTGAGGAAACAGCTGCAGATAGGATATTACCAGAAGAAGATTACGGTGATATAATCTGGGAAGTGGATGTGGAAAGGGCTATAGAAAAAATAAAGACCGGAAAAGCAGCAGGGAAGGATGGCTTTGTCCCAGATCTAATTAAGTTTGGTGGACCAGAACTGCACAAACACCTGCAGGACCTCTTTCAAACAACTTTTTCTCAAAAAACTGTGCCGAAGGGGTGGGTGTATAACATCCTCATTCCTATACACAAAAAAGGAAGCTCTAGTGACTGCAAGAATTACAGACCTATATGTCTCTGCCAAGCGGTTAAAAGCTCTACACATCCATCCTTGAACGAAAGTTGAGAGAAATCGTAGAAGAAAACCTCGAAGAAGAGCAGGCAGCATTCAGACCGCACCGCCAGACCCAGGACCACGTATTCTCTCTCAGGGCTATTATTGAAAAGAAATGTTTCTAGCTTTTCTTTATATCAGGGCAGCATTTGATTCGGTCCCTAGACAAGAAATATGGGCAGCACTAGTCGCAAAAAATGTACCCAATGCACTAATAGATGCTATAAAATCCACATACTGCAACATAAAGGGCGTAATAAGAATAAATGGAAAGGAATCCGAACCTTTAGAAATTAAAAAAGGATTAAAACAAGGAGACAGCCTTAGCCTACTACTGTTCATCATATTCATGGATGAAGAAAATGTGGAGATCCGATGCAGAGAAACCTTAGAGAAGAGTGAGGAATATACCTACCTAGGTACAGTCATCAGCAGGAATGGAATGATTGATTGGGAGGTTTCCAACAGGATCAAAAAGGCAAATAATGTCTACTACCAACGATGCAACACAATTGATGGAAAGAAGGAAGTGGACAAAAACGTGAAGCTGCACATTTTCAAGGCTATATACCTACCTACTCTTCTCTATGGAAGCGAAAGCTGGACCCCATTGGACAAGCACTGGAACCGGGTAACAGCCGCAGAAATGAGATACATGAGGAGAGTGGCTGAATAAACCAGAAGAGATCTGGTTAGAAATCAGCGAATAAGAGAGAACCTGGAAGTTTCAACTGTAAAAGAAATGGTCAAAAGGAGGCAGCTGAAATGGTTTGGCCACCTTTGCCAGAAAAAGTACAAATACCCCTCTCGCTCGAAGGTGTATATTGGTGAAACTAACTTTTATTCGGAAACGTTGAGTATCTTAGATAATCTAAAAAATAAAGCTTTGTTCTCGTATTTTGTCTTCATCGACGTAGTCAGCGGATTTTGATGCTTATTTTTTTTATGTATAATTTTTAATTATAATATCTTTTCACTTTGTCATGATTATTTTTTTGCTTAATATTTAATTATATTTCTTACTTTTATTCTATAAAATATTTATGATTTTTTTACTGACCGTTTTCAGAAGGTAAGCAGCTTCACCTATTTTGGTTCTAAAATCAACTCCCAAAATGACATTAGCCAGGAAGTAAACAGGAGAATAGCAGCAGCTAACCGTTACTACTTTGGCCTTTCCAAACATTTTAGAAGTAAAATGCTCTCTAACTGGAGCAAGATCAAGCTCTATAAGATTCTGGTCTTATTATTTGTCACTTATGGCTCAGAGGATTGGGTATTCACAAACGCGAATGAAAACAGGCTTCTTGTCTTCGAGAGGATCATTCTTAGACGGATTTTCTGTCCTGTTAGACAGGATGATGTTTGGAGAAGGATGAATGCCGAACTAACTAGACTCTATAATGACATTGAAATAGTCAAGTTCGTGAACCTCAGATGACTTCGATGGGTAGGACATGTGCAAAGGATGATGGCTGCCGAGATTCCAAAAATGATCCTTACCGAAGAGCTCAACAGAAAATGGCAAATTGGACGACCGAACGTGTGATGAATGGACTCGGTCTCTGCGGACGTTCTTCTTGAAGTCTGAAACTGGAGAGCTGCAGGAAACAACCAAACAAACTGGTGGAGACTTTTGGAGGAGGCCGCCTTGGTGACTTATGGAGATGTCACGCCACTTATGAACAATGATGATAATATATTGCATAATTTTTATTAGTCATTTGTTTTCTTCCTTTTGATTGTAACCTTCCCTTGCTGTGTTGTCTTTCCTTTCAGTATGCGATTGGATTTCATGGAGTGATGTACAATTAGCTGTTATTTTCAGTCCTGATGAAGCCTAATTAGCAAAACGTTGACAGGTGTTTTCTTTGCCTGCATTTTGGAGACATAAGAAGGTTGTGTGGTTTGGAATTTTTCCAATAATAACATATCATTTATTTCTGTCTCTTGGTTATTTGTTTACTAATTTATAATAAGTTGATCCTTTTATTTCTAATATTTTCATTGTACGTAATATTGTGCTTCCTTTTCTATTTCATAATAATTATAGTTATATCGCAATGTAATATAAATAACATTATATATAATATAATAATTATTATATTGTGTTCAAGGAGAAATGTCTAGATCGAAAAATAACTGCTTTCACCTAGGTAAAATCAAACTACCACCTCCAGATGACTACCGTATGAATTATTATCTAAAATCTTTAGTTTGTATTAGGAAAGTAAGAGATAACAAGAGCTCAAAACATATGTAATTAAATGAACAGCTGTATAATTTGTAAAATAATCGTCTAATAAGTTGAGCTCCTGTTATCTCGTTCTCTCCTAATACTAAAATAAAATGAAAATCACTAAAATCTTTTTTTTATAATAGAGAGATGAAAGTAAAATAATTTATATTAATTATAATATTTATACTTGTTGAGCAGTTTGAGATTTCTGAACATGAGCAACAAGAGAATCAATAGCCATATGTGAAGAAGCAGGAGAGTGATTATCAACGTGCCCATTGCTAGGATGAAAACCAACATCAACAGAGTAAGAACTGGTTTGTTCAATGTCAGGTTGTCCTCTGAAACAAATATTTTAACATTTTTATGGGCATTTGGTATTGTTTCTGCAAAATAATTTCAAATTGTAAAACTATAATGATAGGAAAAAAAAAAATATATTATTCTAAAATAAGAGAAACATGAACTATAAAAAACAATGATTCTTCAGCAGTCTGGATATGGGTTCTAACAGTTTTTCTCAAACAAAGACAAAAAGTCTATTCTTTTTTTTTTTTAATCAACATAACAATACTGAGAAAAAATAAACTCGTTTCAAATGATAGGATTACCAGAATTCAGGTATTTTAAATAAGATATTTTATAATTTTATATTTCTGCTTAGAATTAGTGCATTATCATAAGACTTAATAGAATTGCAGTCTGCCCTACGAAAGATTTTTACAATTCAAATTAATTCCCAATGCTGTTCAAGATGGGGATATTACCTTCAACCCATCATAGCACGCATCATAGTATCGTATGATGGATGTGCTTAATCAGAGAACAGCCATGATCTTTTACAATAATTACATATAAAATTAATTTGTAAATAATCCATCAATTGTCAACTTACAAATACTGTGGCATGTCTTGTTGTTTTTCCTGTAGTACTCTCCTGAAAGAAAAGAAAACTTGTATTTCAAAAGCTGTTAGCTTATCATACATACAAAATAAATCATAACTTATAAATCAGAAGGATGACTAACAACAAATATATTATATAGTATGAAGTTGAAAAAATAAATGATGTATCTCATTTTTTTAATATCCTAAATAGAACATTCATTTTGCTTTTAATTTATGAAAACAATAAGGTAGACAAAAAATAAACTAACTGAAACTGATTTTGGCCTGAAGCCCACCTCAAGATGATAAAATATAACCGTGGGTAAATGGTTGACTGTCGTGAATAATGAAGAGAGGAATAGTTGGGGTGATCAGTCAAATAAGAAGGCAAAATAAATGATAATATTTATTTTGACATTTGCCGACGTTTCGCCCTGAGGTTTAGGCCTTCATCAGGGCAAAGAAAAGAACCAGATAACAAGGTATGAGAAACATAAGTACTGTAGGTAAAAAAAATTATAGTAAAATGAAGTTGTTAGAATAATGACAATAGTAAGAACTAAGAGATAAATAATAATAACCATTACAAAGTGTGGAATGATGAAGTAAACATAATCAAAAAAGGTGACATAAGTATTGAAATGGGAAAAGATTCCCATTATTATACTTATGTAATATGCTTATGTACAGATTCTATTATTCTAAGAGAATAAAATGTAAAACAGAAAAATACCTTGTTATCTGGTTCTTTACTTAGCCCTGATGAAGGCCTGAACTTCAGGTTGAAACATCGGCAAATGTCAAAATAAATGTTATAATTTATTTTGCCTTCTTATTTGACTGATCACCCCAACTATTCCCTCTTCATAAAATATAACCACGTTTTATGAAAACAATATTTTTAAAAAAGTATTATTGTTTGTCTGATTAGATTTAATTGAACATCAAGAATCAATAATTACAATTTCGTATAGGTATTTGGTTTCTTTATTTTTCTTCTAAAGTAATTATAATATATATGAAAAAAAAAACTTTTAGACTGAAGCTCCCCAAAATTAAACCATGGATCAATCAGTGCTCAAATACAATGAACCATTGAAGATGAAAGTCTAGATTACAATCATAGTTTCATTTTTAATGGACAAAAGAACAAATCAATGCTATCTACTTTTAATAATTTACTTATAAGAATATGGATTTTTTTCATTCTATATATTTTCATCCATTTACATAATTACTATTTTTATAGGTTATTTTAATATTGTCAATCACTTATCCTTTTTAAATAGAATTACATATTGCTGTTTTTCTTTTTTTATCAGGCTATTTTGTACTAATTTGATATTTTAAGTTTCTAAAAAAGTGTTGCACACGTCTTTAAACATTAACATATATTACAATAATAAGTTCATTTATAGCTTCTTGATTATAGCCTTCTGTTTTAACTATTTTTGTGTTTTGATTAATGAAAAAAAAAAAAAAAAAAAAGGTCTGCCAAGTGAGGTAAGTATAGCTTCCTCATCATTATCTTAGTTACAAAATTACCTAAATTTTATCTTTTATATATTGTAAGGTCTATAATAAATCTTGGGATGAAACTATTTTCGAAATACAATATTCCCTCAACATTTGTTTGTTTGATGTCCACGAGTTTGGATCATCAGCTAATACTAAAATTGGGAGGATATTTAGATTTTTGGATTGCGTATTTGCCTATTCGTGATTACAAAAAAAATCAAGAACTTCAACAATTCTAAATATAGTATCTATGTACATATTCAACATGCATGCATATGTACTTTATAGATATGTCTCCATTCATAAACTGGATAGAACAGAAGTCACTGAAAATTTTTAATTTTTTTGTTTCTTCGGTATTAACAAAACCAATCATTAGTCCAAACAAAACTAATTTAAGGAAGAATATGAGTGAGGTTAACAAATCACATGAAAAAAAGTCTTGTACATACTTAAAATTTATTGACGGCTAAGTCTTACCATTCAACAATAACTAATCAAAAAAAAAATTGTGGAACATGACCCCAAGTTTAAGAGAGAAAAAGAAATCACGAGTTGGTTGAACTTAAAAAGAAACAAACATAATAAAAAATAGATATTATTTTTTACAATATATGAGAAAAAAATAATTTAAATTTACAAATGTGTATATTTATATATATATATATATATATATATATATATATATATATATAGATATATATTAGTAGATAATATAATTCTAAATAATAAAATTCATACATTAAAAAATCAATCATTCTCGTTTTCTTCAGCCTTCATAAATGTATTCACGAAGAGACAGACAGAATTCATGAATTTGAGATTCGCAAGATTTTTATGGAAAATAACCCTGGCATATGTTTAGAGATTACATTACATATAGTTTAGTCAAGGAAAAGCGCACACCTATGCAAAAAATGTGGAATGGATTCATTAAAATCTATACTGGACAATCTATTTTTCAATCCTTGTAATCACTAAAAATGACATGAAATCTAAGAAATGACAGTAGATGTTATGCCAGTAATATGTAATCGACAAAAGAATACAGTTTAAATTGACATTTTGAATAGAATAAAATTTTATAAGCTCATAAAACAATGAAACTTCACCTCTCGTTCCGTAGGACTAATGCCTTCCACATTCCAAAGGCATTGTTTTCTCAACAGCTAATTATATTAGTTTTAATTTTTGATTGGAGTTCAATGAAATTGTAAACAGGAAATTTCTACACTATTCTCCATACACCCTCCAACTTTGGGTCAAATCCAACAAGCCATTTTCAAACTATAGGTGTGTCAAAAACAATACGTTCAGAGATTTGAAAGTACTTCTTTAAAGTAATGGGTAGAATTTGATGAAATTGATATCAACTTGATCATTTGCTTAACAATCCTTAACATACATTTTATTACAAATACCCACCATCCTTTCAAATTTGAGCTAAATAAGAATGAAACGTTTCTGAAATATTGGTATATCTAAGAAAATACATTTGCGTGTGAGTAAGTGGAAGTAAAGATGGAATTTAATTGATACGGGACCATTTAGGCACCAACCCACACAATCTCTGAAAATTTCATGAAAATTGGATGAACAGTAGTAGGTGATATGCCCATCACATGGATTTGATTACGGACAGACACTGAACCAAATTTGATCCTTGATATCTGAAACATAAAATGCGAATGGAAATTTTTAATTCTAAGCACAATTTTTTTAACCTCAAATTCCCTGCCTTTGGTAGAGAGGAAGCAAACAATTTGACAAAATATGAAAGAATAGTAGTTTGATTATTAAATCCTCCTCCACCATGTTTTCTTATTTCAGAGCTATTTGTAGCTATATTAGTATATTTGGATATTTTAGCTTTCTCATTGAATATTTAAAGATCTTTTCGGTATATCTTGTCATTTATTGCATATTTTACTAGCGATTGCTACTGATATATACTAGTGATGGCATATTTCGGATTTTATTTACTGCATAAAAATCTGAACTATGTAAAAAACCTGCAGATTAATTATTGTATTGTATTTTAACCTAATTATAAAGAAATACTGTTCTGCCACAACCCCTAAAGAACAAATGTCTTGGGTTTAGTACTTCTTAAGGAAACAGTAAATTTTTGTATGTACTTCTAAGTAAATTTTTGGCTCATGGAGCTATTTGGCCATGACCATGCTCATTATAGAGGCTGGATGTGCGCACCAGGAGTTTTTCAATTCGAGAATCGATCCAAAAATGATGTAACAGAATAAGTAATCACCTGCCGAAGCAAGACTTGAACGCAGACCCAGGAGAATAAAAGTACAATATCTAAACTTACTGAGAAATCTCACAACCTATTTTAAACTAATAAACGAGTTTTTAACTTCTACATTCCAAATTAACCAGCTCTTCTACTTATACTTATCATACGCTATTTTGGTCCTGACTAGGATGGATAAGTGAGGCTCTACTGTAATTAATTTAATTATCTGTTTTTAAATGTTTACAACTCAATAGCAACCAAAGAGATCATATTAAAAACGAATTTCATGTGAAGAATGTTTTTTGAATTGGAAAATGATTGTCATTAAAAAATAACATAATAATGCTGAATAAACTATATGTTCTAATGAGTAATGAAGCCTTGTGTGTGGTTAAGGCATTGAGGACTTACTACACTTGGGAATAGGTTTAAATTTAGCTTGAAATAATATTTTATTTTTAGTTCTATTAACCATAGAACAAGTTTTCTTTTTTTCAAATGAACAATTCTTTTTTTTTTTTTAAATTAATTATATATATATTTTAAACTTTATTATTAAGTATTAATACTTTTATTTTTAAGAAAATGAAGACATACTGCAATTATGTTAGATAGATGCATATAACATACTAACATAACTTTTTAAAATTATAATTTCATTGCTTGATTTATTCTAAAAAATATTAATTACCTATATTATTGATAAAATAAAATACTTCAAATTTAGTTTTAAATAAATTAATATATAAACACAACTTACAAACATGAATCCACTAACTGACTGTTAGACATGGCAGTTATAGTTTACACTGTTATTATGAATTCAATCCTGAAACAGTAACAGGAAGTTAAAATCCCAAAACAAAAATCAAACATTTCATAAATCCATAAACAATTACATTTTACTCCACTTAATAATCACCATAACTTAAAACAAATAAAATAATTCTTGTGTTTAGGAATTTTATTAAAAGTGTTTAAACCATGATTAGTTTCGAAAACTTAAAATTTTTTCAACTTATTCATTTAAATTTCTCCAATAGATAAAAATTAATTTGATAAAATAAAAATAGTGATAAGACCCTCTAAAGTTGATTACAAAGCTGATAATTAGAATAATTATTACAGTCATGTCAGTCAATAATTACTAAAAAATGTTCTGAAATCAAAGAAAATATACTTAATTAGTATAATAATAGCAAATACTTGTAATCCCGCAGGAAACTAAAATGGATAGCAATACAATTTTTTTTTATGTTATCTGCAAACCATCCCTTACCAGAGAAAAGAAGGTTAAATGTTTCTACTTCATTCATTCAGTGTTTAATTGTAAATGTAAGAGAAACATTATTTTCTGTCATCTGTAGCACACTTATTGATTAATATGGACTAAAACATTTCAAAATGTTAAAATATATTACAATGTAAGTAGAAAATGAACTTATTTCTCTTAAATTTTTAGTTTATTATTGATTAATTCAATTGAACAAGTAACCAACCCTTGATAATATAAATACATTTTAATTTGTATTTAGAATTGTAGGCTGAATAAAAAATAGTCTTATATCATTTTTATGTAAAATTTATGGAGAAAGGCCATTTTCTAGATAGCCTACAACCACAACCACACTAACATTAGCATTTATTTTTAAAAATTCTTGTTTATTAATATTTACTATGCATTAATAATTATAAGAAATTGTATAAATCACTTGATTCTGTAAAATTAATTTAATTAGAAGTATAAATAATAAATATTTTGTGTTATAAGTACATATACAATTTTTTTCTTTTAAATTTATAAATGAACTATCCTATGATTCAGCCAAATAAAACCAGCAATGTTTTAAGAACCTTGCGGAAGCGCTGACGGAGAGTTAAATATAGTTATTTAATTTCATGTAAATGAACTCAGACCCAACCTTCATTTTAAAATATATATATAACTTATCCTAATTAAGGTTTTAGAACTGCTTTTAATAGCCAAAAACTGTACATCCTTAAGATTTATTTTAAAATAAAATTGTACCTTAAACTAAGCTGCATAAATATATTTTAAATTGGTACTACTCTGTTATAGCCAGGTTATATTTACAAGAATCAAAGTAGAATTAGATTGAAAAATTTAACAAGAAATCATCATGCTCAATACAATTTATTTTTTAATTTAAAAATTGGGAATAATTTTCAAATGTTGGCAAAATGTGCATACATTTTAAATTGTGATATATTTTATCATAACATAAAATATAAAATAAAACATTCTAAGTAATTTTAAATCCAGACAGAGTGGAAGTGTCATTGTTTCAATTTACGTTTATTTTTTTTTAATTTGCCAGTATCTCACATCATGCTTTTATTATTAATTTGTGTTTTAAATATTTTCATATTCATTTGCATTTTTTTTACTAGTTTTAAATATTGTCAATTAGTTATCATTTTTAAATACAATTTCCTATAGCTGTTTTTATTAGGTGTTTGCATATATTTTAATCAGCTACATCTATTGCTAAACATGCAAAGTATCTTTATATAAACAATGATTTTAGGTATTACCGATTTATTATTACTTTATTTTTATCATTTTGAAAGTTTTCCAGTTAGTATTATTAAGTTATTCAGTGTATAAATACCCCAATCATGAAATGCTACAAATTGCATTTTCGACATTCATTTTTTTTTTTGTTTTTGTTTGATTTAAAGAAATCTACTGCCGAAGCCCATCAGACACTTTTAGAAACTTATGGTGATGCTGCTCCATCATATCCCAATTGTTGGCTTTGGTTTCAATGATTTAAAAGTGATGATTTCGATGTCAGTGATAAAGAACATTCTGGAGGACCAACAAAATTTGAATTAATTGAAAGACTGGTTAGACAAAAACTCATCTCAAACTCTTAAAGAACTTTCAGACAGCTTAGCAGATGATGAATGATCCAGACATTTGAATGTGATGGGAAAGATCCAAAAGGAGGAAAAATGGCTACCACATGAAATTACTGAAAATTCCATTTCAAACTGTTTCAACATCGTGGTTTCATTGCTTGCCAGGCAAAAAAAGGAGAGTTTTCTGTGGCGTATTGTGACTGGTGATGAAAAGTGGATTTACTATGGCAATCCCAAGAGCAAAAGTCATGGGTTGATCCAGGATAATCATCTAAATCGACACTGATGCAATATGTTCATGGCTATAAAGTCATGTTGTCATGATGAGATCGGAAAGATGTTGTGTATAATGAACTACTAAAACCGAATGAAACTGTTACTGCAGATGTATACCAACATCAGTTGAACAAATTGAATGACATATTGTTGTAAAAAAAACGAGCAATAGCGAGTAAAAAATGCAAAGTCATCCTCTTATATGACAATACGGCCACATGTTGCAAGAGCTGTGAAGAAAACACTATTGCAGCTCTGCTGTATCCAGTGTACTCACCAGACATAGCACCTTCTGATTACCATTTTTTCAGATCAATGCTGTCACATCAAAATATTTTGATTCATATATATTAAGGGTTGGCAAATAAGTCCTTTCAGTTTTTCTGTTTATTTTTCTGTTACTATATTACATTTCTTATCTGAGGAATTAATCTCTAAGGTGGATTGTTTATCCTGTCTGTCCACAACTATATCTGTTAACTCTTGTTGAAACTAGCTTAGTATTGTTTGCTATTGCACTGTGAATATGGAAAAAAATATTATTCATTATCGGTATATTTTGTTGTATTATTTTAAAAAATCTGGTGCGGTGCGTGCATCACACAACTTTCACTTACCACCCTCTTCTTAGCTGAAAAAGGAATTTACAGACAAAGGGGAAGTAGAAGTAAAAATTATAGATGCTATATTTATTTATATTTCATTGTGGGTATTTATAGTTTTATAAGTACCCTTATATATACAAATTTTAATATTTATATCGCTGTAACCTATACAATTAAATATTAAATAATACCAACAATAGGATTTATGAAAACCACATATGTATATTTATATAATATTGTCTGACTCCATATTATATTAAACTCATTTTACGTATGGAAGTGTGTTAAAATCTTTCAGGCGAGCTCGAGCGCGCTTGAATTCCTTTGGTTCCTCAATTACAACTATTCTCCGTTGCAATCTCTTATTTCTGTATTAGTTAATTATCAAATTGTTTTCATATTATATATTGAAATATCTTTTATATTAGAGATTTTTTTCACACACACAGACCATTTTGGGGGACTTGGTCATTTGGACTTAGGAAACATCAAAACGTGTATTTCCGTTGAAAACTGAGATTCAAAATTTTACAAAATCACAATACTTTCCTTCACTATATATTTCATATATAGGTAAGTAAAAGTAAAAAGGTAAGCAAGTAAGTAAAATGTAAAATTTCATTTTGACATCAATGACGCTCAACAGTCTGAACGCCTACATGAAACTGAAATAAACAATATTAAGGCCATTGTTGATCACCCAATCATCCACTACTAAATACCACCCAATCAGTGCGAAAGATTGCTATGGCCCTAAATGTGTCGCACATAAGTGTAGAAAACCATTTACACAAGCTCAGCTATGTTTCCAGGCTTAATGTTTGGGTCCCTCACATGATTTTTTGTCGAAAATCACAAAAAATGTTATAACTTCGATATGACTTCAGCTATCTACAAGAAATTTAGCTTGAATTTAGACCCACATAAACTACACAAAATGACATCAACAGGACCTTCATAAACAAACTACAAATGGAGATAAAAAATAAAAACCTATAAGGAGTTTTTGTTTATTTATTCCTTATGTAGGCATTAAATAAAAAAAACAAAAAAAACATACAGCTTTGAAGAGCAATAACTTAGCTTTCTAATGGATATAGTAACATCGAATTTGGAGAACAACCTGAAGAGTTATGAGAAGGAGTTGTTGATCGGGAGGGGGGGGGGGGGGGGAGGTGCGGTCAAATTAATAATAAATTAAACAGTGTTTCAACTGCCTCCCGCAGTGCTACATCCTACGCCCTGATGAAGACCTGCAAAGTGGTGTGCAAACGTCGGCACAAATTAAATAATTCTACTTGTTTAAGTTATTATTATTAATTTGACCGCACCCCCCGTTCAACTCCTACTCATATTATATCAACGGTCAACCATCTCTACATCATTCTGAAGAGTTATGAATGATCAAAAGGGGGTTGTGTTCCACCAAGACAACGCTAGGCACCCATACAGCGTTGGTCACTAGCAATAAATTATTGAGCCTTGGATTGGACCTTTTGCCCCATCATCCCTATTCACCAGATCTAGCTCCAAGTGATTACCAATAATTCCAGTCGTCATATTTAAATAATGGTCAATATATTGTAGATTAAAATAAATTTTATTTCTATAATACATTGAGTTTTATTTCATCCTGAAAAAAATGAAAGGACTTATTTGCCAACCCAATATTATACCAATGTTTCTCAATAAATGCCTTTTCAAAAGTGAAAAAAATATCAAAATACATGCAAGCAACTTAATATTTGTTGCTAATTGGAACTTAGTAATGGTTTGGGTATTTTAGTCTTAAAAAAGTATTTCATGCTATCTTTTTAAGCATTAATAAAAATATATTTCTATTTCCCGTAGTTATTTGTTGTATTATCTTTAAATTATTTTGGTTTATTAAAAAAAAAAAAAATGAATAATTTTATTTAATTCTTTCTATATTTTTTTAGATCAAAACTTTTTGTAGGCACATTAGTGTAATTGAATATTTTAAATGTTTTATTTAAAATATTGTACTTACAAGGACATGTATCCTGACATTCGTTCCAATGGGCCTTAGAAGACAAAAAAA